CTTTGCTTCAAAATATATTCGCCGAGTCTATGGAACCGATCACCTCCTCCTACGTTCAATTCTTCCTTCCCGAGATGGAATAGAATATCAGTGGCAGTACAACCAACCACTAATCCGTTAATCCGCAACAAACACGGATCGCTGAAAAATTTGACATTCTCTGGCACTTTCAAACTAGTCGTGTAAGGAGGAGTGGGATAAACAGCATCGTGATGAACGTCGTTGGCCGAAGCAATCACAGCAACTTGACACCCCAGTTCACACAGTTCCGCAACAGTTTCATTAAAAATCGTGGAATATTCTACAGATAAGCCATCTTCTGACACACACACGTTATTCGCGTCCACAAAAGGCCCACATAGAATCACAACATGGGGTTTCAACTGCTTCAACTCCTCAATCAAGTCCTTGAACGGCTCGTAAAGCATGTTGGAAGCTGCGGAATACGGTCCTGAACAAACTGCAACCCGCAGAGTTCCTCGGAAATCAAGATTCAAGTCGCAGGCCTCAGGTACTGACCCAGTGTGCAACTCAGACACGATAATCTTCTTCCCCGTGGGATTGCTTCCTTTGACGACGACGATTTGCCCGGGGAAAAACGAGTATTGTTTGTCCGCAAGGTGACTTAGGTCCAGAGTCGCGATGCTTCCAACGGCATCCGACGAACAGTTCTCCAAAAATACAGATGCATTGTTGAGCTTTCCACGAGAATCGCAGAAAATGCGACCGACGCAGTAATATTCCTGAGCAGACTCTAAAATGCAAGGAACAGGGTTTCCAGCCGTCAGGTCTTCAAGCATGATTTTCCCGAGTTCTTCAGCTGCAGTGAACAGCACTTGACGCTGGATGTCCAAACGATCGCACATGTAGGCGTAGGTTTCCGTGAGAGCGAGTTCTTCATTGAGTAGGCGAACACTGGCGTTTATTTCTGAACGGGCTGAATTTTTCCAAGAGCTGGGAGCAAAGGGTTCCCCAAACTTCACCACTTCCATGACTTGTCCTTTACCTAACCGATTCACGTACTTCTCAGAGGGGGTGCATGCTCCCGGAGATGAGTTGTTCGGGGTAAATAAAACAGACGGCGTTTTTGCCCCACGCAAGGATTTATCTAAACAGAAAAAAATGCATCATTTTTTTAGAGAATTGAACTCGACAGACGGCAATTTTCACTTCAAATAAAGGACCTCAAATTTTCAGAAAGTCATGTATACAGTCGAAACTCTTCAAGTTGAAATTCGAAGGACCAGAAAAACAATTCGAGTTAGGGAAACAACCATTTTTTGTTGGGGAGAGAAAAGAAAAATCACAGAAGATTGTGATTGGTGATATTCTGGGCATTGAATTGAATCTCAAATGAGTGGACAGAACGCTGAGGTTGGAGGCAAAGGTTAATATAACCAATTAGTCTATAATTTCCTTTCAAAACACATCGAGTTACATTTTGATTGCTTCACTCTTTCCTGTGTCAACAAAATAATCGCCAAAAGGTGTCCAGAAAATTTGACGTATGGAGGTTGGATTTTTGAGGGGCATAGCCTTTCAATTCGGGAATTTTTCATTCCATTGTTGATACGGAATTTCAGACAGGGACTTGAAAAATATCGACATTGGGAGATATTTGACTTACAGAGGTTCGAATTATCAAGGTCAAATTGTAGATTTTCACCCGGTGCATCAATAATACCCTAATCTGATGCACGCTAGTACAGTAATTTCCGGCACTCAAAAAAAAAATACTGTACCTCGGAATTCATGAATTGTCGTACGTGAAACTTATTTCCCAGGAGGCGCACTTTCATCTCTGTCTCATAAAAAATTCCAACAAGAAACCTTTGCACCAATCCTCTTAAGCATACTGGCCATCCGCAGGAAAAATGTAGTTGAACAGATCACGGACTTCAGGATTTCACGCGTAGCAGAAACATTCCGTAATACACGAATTCATTCAACTCACCCTGACGCACAATTTTCGGGGTCACATGAGGAGCTTCACCATCATTGTAAATCGCTGCAAGAATATCAACGTCGACATCCATTCGACGAACTTCCGATTGACGGGTCGGCGTTGGAGTGTGCTTCGGCGGAATCAAGGGCGTAGAAATAGTATTCCTCTTCACCAAGACACTCTTTTCCATGGCGAGAATCTTGTCCAGGGTTGGAATGGGATCAGTTAGTGTTTGTGAAAAGGTGAACCACTCAGACACTATGTCGTCATCCGATACTCCGTAGGCAACTGATAATTCGTGTAATTTTTCCGCGAGGCTCAAGTTCATTTCGACGCCGAAATTCTCAAGCTCGGCTTGGATGTATTCCGGACCGTTTTCGGCCATGATCACTTTTTATCTGAAAATCTGAAGAACACTCAACGCAATGAAAATCATTATTCCAAATCCATCCATAAGATAGAAATTACTGTCCTGTTAGAACCTGCATTTCACTCTCCAGAATTGAGATTACATCAAGCAACATTCGATGTCTTCAGCAGCAGCGTTTCTGATCCTTTAAGACTCAACGGGCATTTAAACGAACGTATGTAAACGAACGAACCGGCGTTTACAAAATAATGGTATACTTTCAGTTCGGGATAAAGCTGGCTGCTTTTCGAAACGCGTTATCCTACAGACTCTTGCATTTAAATCCACTGATACATGTTAACTAGGCATACTCCTATTCGATTTCATCACATTCATATTTTGCATGCTACTCTGGAAGAGTGAACGGCGCCAGTTCCATGAAGCATTCAATTTCACATCCATCAATGCTTCCTAGGAGCATGCTTAGATTCAAGGTCAAAATTGAAGCAACTCTCGAATGAAGCACTCGTGTCAACGAATACACCCGACGATACCCCCGGCACTTACTGACGCATTAATTTTCCCTGAACTTGGTCTTCGACTTCCGCATAGTCATCCTGACAATGAAGTCCTCATAAACAATGGAACCATCGCGAGAAACGAAGAGATGTTTAGTCAACACCAAAGTTCATCTTACTTGTCATCGTCAAAAATCAACAGAAATATTCAACAATCGAACTTCATTTCGAGGAAGACCATACTTCAAGTCAGCTTCTCATCGGACATGAATGTCCGTTATGGGTAACAACGATTCAACATTCGCAGTTCTAAGCTCTTGAGGACACTTTTCTTACACACTCATACAGAGCAGACTTGAAACAGAGTATTGTACCTGACCCTTCCTAGATCGTAAGTTTTCAAATTACACCTGGGCCAAATTTCCCACAGAAGAAATGCATATTTTGCGCACTGCGCATTGAACTTATAGAGAAACGGTTACGAAACTAGATTCATTCATTCAATCTCTAACATAAACCGCGCGAACGCCACACGCTCATCTACAACACCCAACAATGGCACTATAAAGAACTTGCACAGCTCAAAATTTTTGGCGAGCCGTTCGGACCGGAACGTATATTTATTCAAACAAGCAGAAATTGTTCACCTTTTTCACGCCGAAACAATCGCTTACGGCGGCAAACTTTCAATTACATGTATTTCCAGGGTCACAAAATACATAAACTCATGAACATGGAAGAAAATTACATACGCACAACAGACGAATCCGAGAAGTTTCGCACATATCCTTTCACCTGCACAGCACGCGAAGTTTTGAACGGTACTTGTCTTCTGCTAGCAGGACACTCCTTACCGGTTTAACCAAACTCAAAGAGCTGATCACTTTATAGAGAGCGCTGTTCATGAAGGCTGAAAGCAACATTTTCCGCTGAGCGCTCTCTATGTGAACATACAGTCCTACGTTACGCAACAAAAAAATTTCCTGAATGGTATGCAGGAAATTTTTAGTTATTTTAGTTGAAGGACATTTTAATTTGTAGAAATAAGATGTGTACAGTAAGGATCATTAAAGAATTGGACAAACTAAGAATTTTGGAATGCATAAAAGCTGAAGTTTTTTAAATAATATATTTTATTCACAAAGCCATTGTGCATCCAGGATGGAGGCATTGCCGATTTATGCGTAATCATTGCTTAAGGAAGCAACCAAGAAAAGTTAGAAGTGCAATAATAATAAGGAACAGTTTTCTGATAGAAGTTAGACCATCAGGTCAAAGTTAATCAGCAGGTCTAGGTTAGANTATGCTCTGATTGTAACAATGTTTGCTGAAAATTCTCAGGACTCTCTTGTACTAACTGGGGACAGTCAAGAAGGAATAAGAAGATGAATCATTTATTCCGAGTTATTTTTTATTCATCCAACATTTTTATTTAATGCTGTGAAACACCTCTGAATTTTAATCATTCAACCATTCTCAGGAACTCATCTTTATTTCTGAATAAAATTATTTATTTTTCATGCTAATTGAACAGTCAGCAATGAATCTTTTTAGATTTTCCATAAACCTTTCTTGGAGAAAATCAGGAATTAATATCATGCTGGATCAAGTTCTGTTTTTATTTGACAAGAGCAATTAGGATAGGCCTCTTGAGATAATATAAATTTTATTCATCTTTAATTATTGTATTTACTTAAGTATACCAGTTTAACACACACAAGCTCAAATAAAAGCTCACCTTAAATATTAAGCCTAAAATGTCAGGGGAAATGCATCCTTACACAAAAAAGCATGCAACACTTTTGAGTCCCTGAAACATTCCATTGTTGCAAGATTAAATTGCAGATTTTTAAGCTAGCAAAGTGGTTTTTAGTCTAATTGAACCTAAATTCAATTCATCTTTAATTTGCATTGAATCAAATTACATTATCATATGCCATACATATTTCAGCTGCTATATTTCTTGATAATAAATTTATCTCTGAAAAAATTCCCGAATATTCACCAAACTTGCCTATTCGAAATTAAAGACCTGTATAAAAATGTTTGAAATTTTGTATCCGCCTATATCACGCTTTTTATGGTGGTTCGCTGTTTTCACTATGATTGAGCCAAATTTATACATCATCAGGACATTAATTCAGATAGTGGTGGACATTTCGGAGAGGTAGTAGGGGCCAGAGGGGTTCCTGGAGAAGGACCTGTCCCCGCGGACAGATACAGCGGCGGGACTGTCCCCGGTCAGTACAAGACGGTTAAGTCAGAAAGCTTCGGGGCGCGGTGTATACGTGGAGAAGCCAGTGCTGGGCTTGTGTCAGCGGTGCGGGAAGTGGGGGGCAAGGTCACGATGTTTTCTGGTACGAGCCACGCACACCACACTGGTCACCAACAGGACCACCAGCATCACCACGCAGACCACCAGGACCCACATCACTGCTTGGTACGGCTGCGTCGGATCTGTATA